TCAGGAGGGGTGCTGGGCTGCCACGTGGTAGCCACAGGGCTCCCTCCCTAGGGATGGCTGGGATGTGGGCCTCCATCTCCCCAGGACCTGGTAATTGCACCTCTGGGTCTCGCTGGCTCATCCAACGTCCATGACAAGAGCAGCTCTGATTACAGCCTGGGTTTCTCTGGGTAGGCTGCCCCAACATGCACCGGCTTTAATGGCCACCAGTCCTGAGAGGACCTTGGCCCTGGTGCCTTGTCTCAGCGCCACCCCCACCCCCAAAGGCTCCACCTTCTTCCGGGCTGGAGAAGGGGCCTTTTTAGGCTTGGCTTCCTTCGGGGGTCAAATGGCCTGTTGTTACCTGTGACGTGGTTTCCCACCTGGCACTATTGTGAGGCTTTGCATGGAAATGACTGGTGGATGAATTTATAAACTGTAAAGTCCGGTGCAAACGAAGGGGTGGGAGGAGCCTGCACCAGCTCCACCCTCCCTCCTTTCCTCCCTCCACAGGAAGGTCTGGAATCTGAAGATGAAGGATCCCAATTCCAGGTGAGGAACGGCTTCCTGACAGGCACCTGGGTAGAAAAGCTTCCTTTCTGCCCTGCACGGCCTCCCTTCCTCCTAACCTCACTCATCTTCCAGGCTGAAGAGCTTGATCAAGAAGAATTCCTTCTGGATTCACCGTGTCACCTGCCTAGGGACAGAGCCTCACATGGCCAGCTGCCAGGTGCAGGTGTCCCCGGCCCAGGGCAAGCCTCAGCTGGCCTGCCCGGGGGGAATGCACGCGGTGGTCAGCTGTGTGGCCGGGCCCCGCTTCCGTCCACCCAAGGCAAAGGCACGGCACAAGGAACCCCGGGCCCAGGTGAGCCCCATAGCTGCAGCACCCTGGGACCCCCATGTGGAGGGGCTGGCTCCGGGCCCCCAGAAGCCCTGGACCCAGGTGGGAGGAGGGGCACCTCACAGATGGACTTAGAAAGGACAGTGTGTAGCCCTCCCTTTAGTGGGGAAATGGTGTGTCCTGCCAGGAATAGAAGGTGACCATAAAAACAGTAATTACATTGCCACTACATCCTGTCTCTGGAGAAGGTATTGAACAGCCCCCCCCCCCCCCCCCCCCCCCCCCCCCCCTCCCCCCCCCCCCCCCCCTCCCCCACCCCGAGGGGGGGGGTTGGGTGTGGGTTTTGTTTTTTTGTTATAAAAAGAAAGTGAGCTACAGCAGAGAGGCGTTTCAGACAGACCGGCCCCCAACAGACCGTCGCCACAACGGAGCAGAAGGCAGGGAGAATTATTCCAACAGAATTCAAGCTCGGTTTGGGGGTCCTTGGTCCATGGATCAGGCATGGGACTGCCAACCAAAGGCGAGGTCCATGATTCCAACCCACAGACCGCCCCATGGGGAGGGAGCTATGCTCTCTGCTCCCATAAAGATGTACAGTCTTGGGGACCACCTATAAGGTCGTGGTGAGCTGGGGGGGGGGCGACTGGGAGGCAGTGAGTTGTTTATTGTCATTCACACTCCACACCTGCACCTCCCTAGAACAGTCCATAGGCCTTTGGGGTCGTGCTGACCCAATTCAGCCCCAAACCCAATGCTGCTCAGTCAACTGATACATAGTGATCCTACAGAAGAAAGACCACCACCACCCCCCCAAGCACCCCGCGAGGCTATGAATCCTTACCGGGAATAGAACGCGGCATCTCTCCTGCGGAGCCGCTGGTGGGTGTGAACTACTGACCTTGAGGTTAGCGGCACACCACTTAACCCATTGCGTCACCAGGACGCTTTAGCTCCACCCCAAAGAACAAGGAGTTAGCCGAGGTTGAGGGAGGAAGGGGGCAGGCGCGGCGACTTGGTGGGTGCCTGCCTCCCAGGGAAGGTCCTCTCCTGTAAGGCGCTCCTTATTCCCGTCCTGTCCTAGCTGTGGCTCTCACTGCTGCTGTCTCCCCACTTGGCCACGGGGAAAGTGGGGGACAAAAGGCGGGCTGGAACTCGGTGGTGCCGTGGAGCCCAGCCCTGAAACTGGCTTCTCTCCGTAGGAGCCCAGGGTGCGCCTCCGCTCGGGGGCCCAGGTGGGCGAGGGCCGGGTGGAAGTGCTCAGGCACCACCAGTGGGGCACTGTCTGCGACCACAGATGGAACCTCATCTCCGCCAGTGTCGTGTGTCGCCAGCTGGGCTTTGGTTCTGCTCGGGAGGCCCTCTTTGGGGCCCAGCTGGGCCAAGGTGAGTGGAGCGGGTGGGTCTGGGGTCTGGTGAGACAGGTGGATGAACACGTGGCCATTGGTTGGCGGCGCTGTCACTCCGGGCCAAGGCAGACGGCTCTCCCAGTCCAGTCCGTGGGGGTGGGGGTAGCCTGGGTGCGAGGTTGCAGACACCAAGTCCCATACAGCACCTCTCCCCTGCCCCCACCCCCGCAGGGCTAGGCCCCATCCACCTGAGTGAGGTGCGTTGCCGGGGCTATGAGCGGACTCTCAGCGACTGCCGAGCCCTGGAAGGCTCCCAGAATGGCTGTCGGCATGAGAATGACGCTGCCGTCCGGTGCAACGTGCCCAACATGGGCTTCCGGAATCAGGTGAGCTCAGGTCCCCCTCGGCCTGGGGCCTGGAAGCCAGGCTACCAGAGATCGCCCGAGTCACCAGCTTGAGCTAGTGGGCAGGCACCCAGGAGAGGCTGTTGGAGCTTCAGCCTCCAGCCCAGATAACTCTACCTGACAGCCAGCATGGAGGCCACCTGGCTGGGTCTCCCGGGGGTGGGGGCTTCCTTCAGGACACCCCCGGGTCATGGTGCCAAGTGGGCCTGGGCAGTGGCCGTGAGGAGGCCGGGTGGCAGGAGAGCTCTGTGTTCAGTGCTCACAAGGGACTAGGCAGGTCACCTCACGTCTTTGCTCTTGGCTCCCTCTCTGATCAAATGGGGTGAATGGTCTGGGGTGCAGGGGTAACTGTGGATGAGGCAGCAACCATGCATGTTGTGAGGAGGATCTCAGGACCAGGTAGGAACCCCTAGTGAGGGCTCAGGGCCAGGTCTCTCTCCGAGAGTCTAGCCGATGTCCTCCATTTAGAAGTTAGGGCCCTAGGAAAGGGGGCATCCGTCTAGCCGCAGAGAAGAGAAGGCTCTCTGGGCTGGGTCCCCCTCCCACAGCCCCCTGCTCCTCACACGCTTCTGATGGTCGCAGGTGCGCTTAGCCGGTGGGCGCAGTGCCGAGGAGGGTGTGGTGGAGGTGCAGGTGGAAGTGAATGGGATCCAACGCTGGGGAGCCGTGTGCAGCGACCACTGGGGGCTCACCGAAGCCATAGTGACCTGCCGGCAGCTCGGTCTGGGCTTTGCCAACCACGCCATCAAGGTAGGTCCCCACCTCACGTCTTCCCTATTTTGCGTCCCCCACCCTAGTCTCAAGGACCACAGCTTCCTTCGAGTGGCCCTGGGCAGAGCTAGACCGCTGGCCCTTGTTCACATGCTCAACGATTAATTACAGGCATTCTGGATTTGAGGCCATGCTGCGTGCTGAGGGACAAGAGGATGGGGCCCCTGCCTCATGCAATGGATTGTCATGGAGGGGTGGCAGACTTTCGTAAAGTGTTTATAGCTGTGCACTCAGGAAGGGCGTCTGGAAGTTAGCCAGAGAAAACGTACATTGGCGGAGGGAACAGGGACCCGGGGTTGCAGAGTTGCTCTTTTGGAAAAGGGTTGTGGGGAGAAGAACATGGATACAGTCCGCACCCCCCCCCACCCCCCACCCCCCTGTGCAGGAGGCTGCCACAGCCCAGGTGGGGGACAATGCTGGCTTGGACCAGACTAGTGGAAGCTCAGGTGGAAAGAAGTGGGTCGAGTCCAAAGGTATCAGAACTGCACTGGAGAGGATGTAGAGGCCCCCCTGCAAGCACACATATTGGACTCAATGTCTGCCTGGAGAGCCAGGTCCCACCCTGGGAGACTGGGAGTACGGCTGGGTGGGGAGGAAGAGAAGAGGCCCCTCTTTTTCATGCTTGCGGGCTGCCATGTGGAAGAGGGAAAAGGGGTGGCGCCCCAGACAGCTGGAGTTTTGCCTCAACACATAGAAGAAATGTCTAGTCCTCCTGAGGATCCAGATGTAGAACGGACTGCTCGGATCCCCATTACTGAAGTGTCCCAGGCCCGGGCTAAGTGGAGCCTGGTGGAGGGGGGGGTCCTCGGGACCCAAGCTCAGGGGTGAGGAATCAAGGAGACCAGGCCCCTCTCAGACCTGACAGGGGACGCTGGCTGTTTCCCCAGGACACCTGGTACTGGCAAGGGACGCCAGGGGCTGGAGACGTGGTGCTGAGTGGGGTGCGCTGCTCGGGGACGGAGCTGGCCCTGCAGCAGTGTCAGCGGCACGGGCCAGTGCACTGCTCCCACGGTGCGGGTCGCTTCTCGGCCGGAGTGTCCTGCACAGACAGTGAGTACCGGTGGCTGCCCACTGCCCCCTCCCTCAGCCCACGGGGCCTTGGGGCACAGGCTCTGCCAATTACCAGGCCATGGCAGCCCAGTTCTGTGAGTGAAGAGAGGGCACAGGAAAACCCAAAGATGTAGAACAATGTGTCCATTTTCGAGTCATGACCAATCGTTAAAAAAAAAACCCGAGTAAAAACCATGCATGTTACATCACATGGAATGAGGGTATTCCCCCCACCCCACCCCTTTGGACCTGTGTGTGAGTATAGTGGGTCCCAACGTCACATCGATGTATCAGGGTCAATCGTAGTCAACAAATGTTTGAGGGGCTATGGCTGGTATATAAATGAGAGTCATGCTCGGGCTGTGGAAACAGCTCTGTGTTCCCCTCTTGGGCAGGGCTTACCCAGAAGGCTCAGGGACAGACCACTGAGGCGTCAGTCTGCCTCATAGACCCAGATTCTCACGTCGGAAACCTGCCAACCAGGTCTGGGCCAAGACCAGTGTCCAGCCCAACAGCTGCCACTTGACCTTCTTTCCAGACAGATGTCAAGCCTGAGCCACCCCTGACCTTTGTCCATGACCTTTAGAGGTTTCCTCTCTGTCCAGGGCCAGGACAGCGGCCCCCTATACCACCCTCTGACAGCAATGTGGGGGCTTGCTGGTCCTCAGTTTCCCTTCCCGGGAGCCTGCCCCTTCCCCTGTCCTGCTGCCCAAGTGCTGAACACACTGCCCACACCAACCTGCCCCCTTGCCCACCTGCTGCCCTGGTGAGCCATAGTGCTTCTCGTTTCTTGCCCTCTCTCGTCCTCTCTGGGCGCTTTCCTCCTTCACCTCGGGAACTCTAGGGTCTGTCAGTGGCAAACACAGAAACCAAACCAAACTCCCTGCCACCAAGTCGATGACAACTCAAAGCGACCCTGTTAGGAGAGGTAGAACCGGCCCTATGAGTTCCTGAGATCCGTAACTCTTTACGGAATAGGAAGCCCTGTCTTTGTTCCTGAGAGAAGCTGGTGGTTTGCAACTACTGACCTTGTGGTGAGCAGCCCAATGGATAACCACGATGCTGGCTCTTGGCAATGGTGCAGGTCTTCCGCCCAGTCCCTTGAGCCCCTGGGCACAGCCATGACACCCACCGGGTACTCCCATCTCTCCGCCGGTGGAGCCCCACACGGCTGGCACCGCTGTCTAGAATCTGAAGCTTGTGCTTTTGCACACAGAAGCCCTGAGAACGGGCCTCTCCACTCCTCTGGAGCTCCGTGGCACTCGCTGTGCCAGCTCGCATTTTTGTAGACACTTGAGGTGGGGATGGCAGCGATGGCCAAGAGGCAGGGGGCTGCAGAGAGGGCAGGCAGAAGCCTCAGACAGATGCGCGGGATGCCCACAATGCTGCCCGCTGGGGAGGTCAGGCTGGATGAGGGAACCTGTGGCAGTGTGAATGAGCAGGCCTGGCCCTGGCGATGAACCTACCCCACTCCCCTTCACACCCACCCCTTCCTCTGAAGGACTGGGGCCCGGGGAGAGGCAGGGACTTGGCTAGGGTAACCCATGGCTGGCAGCTGAGTGTATTGAGGGCACAGCCACGGCTGCTCTTTGGGAAGTAGGTTGCCAGGCCTTTCTTCCAAGGCACTTTTCTCAGCGAGCAACTGTGGGTGTTAACTCTTTGCAGTACCCAGGGACTGCTCCTTTAATACAACCCACAGCTCCCAAACTGCCCTCCTTGCCCGAGCCCCTCCCAAAAGGGTGACATGAGGGTCAGGCTGCCCATCGTGCTGCAGCCAGGATTGCTTGTGGCTGCCCCACCATGCCATCCGCGGACATCTGCAGGTGCTCCCGACCTCGTGATGAACGCCCAGCTGGTGCAGGAGACGGCCTACCTGGAGGACCGCCCGCTCAGCCAGCTCTACTGCGCCCACGAGGAGAACTGCCTCTCCCGGTCGGCCGACCTCATGGACTGGCCCTATGGACACCGGCGCCTGCTGCGCTTCTCCTCCCAGATCTACAACTTGGGCCGAGCTGACTTCAGGCCCAAGACTGGGCGCCACAGCTGGATTTGGCACCAGTGTCACATGTGAGTGCCCGCCCCCACCAAGCCTTGGCCCCAGAGCTGTGGGCTGAAGCAGCCTGGTCTTTCCACAAGGGCTCTCGTCTCTGGTGAGGTTTCCTTTGCCGTTAGCCTGGCCTGGCCTCCAGGAAGAATACTGTCACAAGAGCATCAGCCTGCCCTCCTCAGCTCCCTCTCACCTCCCCTTGGATGCTCTTGTGTTGACGGTCATCATGGAGCCCAAGAGATGTCTCATGGCCGGCAGAATCTGTCTTTGTTAGAATGGCATTGGGCCATTTTCCTATGTTGGGCCTTGGGTCATCCCTGTCTCTAGGAGCCAGGAAAAGTAGGGACTCCTGGCTCTTATTTGGGGTACTCCCCAAATAAGCACCCTGTCCAGGATGCTGGCTCTGCAGAGTTAGCCCGCTGGTTTGAGCGCCAGCAAGGCGAGACCCCTCAGACAACAGTGTGAACGGACTGCCTCTAAAGAGACAATGGGCATTCTTTCCTATCAGGAGCCTCCAGCCCAGACAGAGGGAGACAATGCCTGTGGCAAAGACTGAAGGGAAAGCGATGTGCCCCATTTAAGGACACAGCAGCGGGCGGGAGTGGGGAGGTTGAGGGGTGGGCAGCAGCTTTGGGACTTGGCCTTGCCTGGGATAATGAGTACCTTTTCCTGTAGCCTGAACAGAGGTGTCATTACAGGACTGGGAATGATGGTGGCAATTTGATCTCAGGCTAAGCTCCCTTTCCCTTCCTTCGTTCAGCTCCTGACCTTGCTGCGAGGGCCTCCCCCCCACCCTGCTCCCTTTCCCCACACCAGGTGCCCTCTCCTTGTTTCTAGCTGGGGCCTGCAGCCCAGCACCAGCCTCCTGGAGGCTACTGGGGTAGAGCTTTGATTTGACTTAGGTAGACCGCTGGGTGATGGGGCAGCTGTGCCGGGAAACGGGTTGTGGGTCACGCTAATCTTGGGTTTGGGATGGAGACAGGCACTGCCCTGCTATTATGACTTTCTCTCTGGGTAATGATGGGCCACGGGCCTCAGCCCCCTGCCAGCTCCTCTGAGAGGATCCGATGGTGTTGCTGCCCAGCCAACAGCCTCTGCTGTCACACAGGCACTATCACAGCATTGAAGTCTTCACCCACTATGACCTACTCACTCTCAATGGCTCCAAGGTGGCTGAGGGACACAAGGCCAGCTTCTGTCTAGAGGACACGAACTGCCCCACAGGTACGTGGCTTCCTACCAGTGTATTTGAGGGCCCCCCACCCATCTCTCATGTTATATTAGTCCTTTTGGGACCCCCTCTGCCCTGTCCAACAGCCCCAAGCCCCAACACGGAGATGGGCACAGATGGGGATTGCTTCCCTGGTTGGCAACAGTCCTCAGGAAATTAAACAAGATCTACTTCTTACCTTCTGAAATGAGATGGGCAGTCTACTTCTTCTGTCTGCATCTCCAACACACGTGGTACCACTTTCTAAATGCCTGTTTCCTAACTCAGCTAATTGTCGTAGGCGAGCCAAATTCATCTCAGTGGAATCTTTTGAGGGCATGGATTACTGGATTCCTCTTTGCAGAAACAGCATGGCTAACACTGGATTTTCCGATGGATGTGATGGGTGGACAAGTGAATTAGCACAACAGAGCTATGATCTTTCAACCAAATTTCCAAATAATCATTGTCACAGGTGGTGGTTTGGCCCAGTGCTGGGCTCTTATTTATTAGGAGTCCTGGCTCTGCTCAGCAGCTGCGCCACCTCAGGTCCCTGACAGGTGGATACAGTGGTATTTACCTGGGAAGGCCGGAGGGAGAATTCAAGGCTAAACGACGTACAAGACCTAGCAGAGGGCTTAGTGCCAAGCACCTACTCAGCCCCAGCAACTGTCTGAACCCTTCTTCACAGGGCTGCAGCGGCGCTATGCATGTGCCAACTTTGGGGAGCAGGGGGTGACTGTAGGCTGCTGGGACACCTACCGGCATGACATCGACTGCCAATGGGTGGATATCACAGATGTGGGCCCTGGGGACTACATCTTCCAGGTAAGGGGCTGGGGCCAAGAGGCAGAACCCCTTACAGAACCTCATTTCCTCTAGATTTCCTAAAGCTTCCTTGCAGTCAAAGGAAGGAAAAGGGTTCCACACAGGGTCTCCAACAAGCCCGTCACTCAAAGGAGCTGTGCTGTAGGGGAGAGAGCGCCAAGTTAAGACCCAGAGCCCCCGGCCTTGATCAAACCAGCTGTGACTTCTCAGTCCCTATCTGCAAAATGGGGATGCTAATGCCTTCCTAGGGAGCCCTGGTGGCACTCTGGGTTAGGTGTGGGGCTGTTAACTATGAGGTCGAGTTCAAACCCACCGCTGGGTTTGAAATGAGGTAGTCAGCTTCCATAAAGATTTACAGCCTCGGAAACCCCACAGAGCAGCTCTCCTGTGGTCTGCAGGGTCATCTGAAGCAGAACTGACAACCTGGCAGTAGCAATGCCTGAGAGTCAGGGCTGACTCAACAATGGTGGCTTCCTATGGTAGACTGTCAGGATTCACAAAGCGAAGACTGTAGCCACCCTCCAGAGGAAGGAACACCGAGCCACTGTCAACTCACAGAAACCACCACTCGGGGCTCATTAGGCTGTCCCCTTCTCTCACCCCAGGTGGTTGTGAACCCCAAATTCGAGGTGGCAGAGTCTGATTTCTCCAACAACATGATGCAGTGCCGCTGCAAATATGATGGGCACCGGATCTGGCTGCACAACTGCCACACAGGTAACCGAGCCACTGCAGGACCAGCCCTGGCCGGGCTCATGGTGCTGGAAGAATGGGGAATGGGACTTGTGTGGCGTGTGTGTCTAGGAAAGGGCCCTAGGTGTGGCATGTGGGTAAGAGGTTAGGAATGTGACGAGGTATGATGTGTGGGAGGCCAGAAATGGGCCCCATGTGTAGTGTGCACGTGTGTTTGTGTAAGAGCCAGGGATGATAGAGATGAGTCTTTGGCCAGCCTCGCAGGGAAATGAGTCAGACTCGCAGGCTCACCGTCACGGCTGTCTGTCCCCCTTCCTCCCATCTGTCCTATACTCGGGCCCAGCTCCTTGTGAGGATTTCCCTTCCCCAGCCCACCACTCCTCCCGTTCCTTTCCACATCATCTTTCTCAGTAGCCTCCAGCCTAAGCTGAGCGCTTCACATGCCAAACCACAAGTCCCCCAGGTCTGTAGCTGTCTCCAGCTGTGACCTCTGCTTGCGAGGGGCTGGTGGAGGGCACCAGGGGGTGGGGCATGCTATGGGATTGACAGCTTCGGACCAAGGGAGAGTTAGTGATTCAGTAGCGGCGAAGTAGGTGCCTGGGTTCATATTCTGTACTGACTCCCACCTGCTGATTGTACAAAGCCCCTATTCGCAGTGCACACAGACCCACTAGTGCCTATGGGAGCAGAACTGTTGAGCTAGTCAGCAAGCATTTGTTACGACCCTTTTTGTGGACCAGGCACTAGGGATGTGACTATGAAGAGAGGAGCCCAGTGTTCAGTGGGCTATGCAGACGGGCAAATAGGGAACTAAACACCGACAGTGTCAGCAACCAGGCAACAATGAGATACTGAGCAAGCAGGGAACCAGCAACAGCCTGGGGGCTTCCACAGGCTTCCCGTGCCCGCTGGTCTCAGACGAGGGGCAAACGCTGTCGGCGAAAACCAGAGGGGAGCAAGCAGTCTCGGCAAAGTTTGGCTCACCATTTTCTAGCCAGAAGGCGGGGAGCTTTCACTTTTCATGGCAGGGGGCTGTGTACCTCAGCTGCACTTAGATTCTCTGCAGGGAAGGTGATGATGGTTCTTCTAAAACAGTGGTTCTCAACCTTCCTCATGCCGCGACCCTTTCATACAGTTCCTCATGTGGTGGTGACCCCCATGAACCGTAAAACTAATTTCGTTGCCACTTCATAACTGCAATTTTGCTACTGTTGTGAATTGGGCAACCCCTGTGAAAGGGTTGTTCGACCCCCAAAGGGGCCATGACCCACAGGTGGAGAACCGCTGCCAAATGAATGGAGTTCATCTTGCGGGCTTTCTGGAGACAGGCAACAATTTCAGCCGAGAGAGCACAAGATCAGATTTATGTTTTCAAAAGATAACTCTGAAGAGGAGGAGGAAGAAAAGTCTCGGGCTTCTCAGCCAGGTAGATTCTGTGTCCTTTCACCAATGGTTACAAAAAGCCTTCCCTGATGAGGGGAGCCAAACTCACAGTGGCCCTGGTGGCGGAGCAGTTAAGGCATTTGACTGCCAACTGCAAGGGTGGCAGTTTGGACCTTACCAGCCCTTCAGCAGGAGAAAGATGGGGCCGTCTACTGCTGTAAACAGTAGTTAAGAGATCTCTCTACGTCAGGGTCTGCAGGAACGGAGCATCTGGAGTGACTGAAAGAAAGGACTATTTAGGGAGGTGTGCAGACAGCAATGGGACATAGTGAGCGATGAATAGAAGCTCAGGGCCAGAGCCGGGGAAGATACCCTGAACCATCCACTTCCACCCTCTCATCTCGCACGGTTGCTTCCCACTGACTTAACCAGAAACTAGAGCATCAGGGAACCCAGTGACATCATCTTTAGGGGTCAGCCTCCCAAGGAACAATTTGCAGAGAAATCCAATGGGGAGGAAAGAGTAATGAGCACATGTGAATGACCTATTTGTCCCACTTCCCCTGAAAGGCCACACCAGCCCTGGGTCCTTTATTATGGAATGGGTTGGTGCCCACATGCATGTGCTGGAAAGGATGAGCTGGGTGCAATGGACCTGGGTGCTCGTGCTGTCCTGCAGACAGATGCAGGGCCGGCTTCTGACCCTGTCTTCCTTCGGCCTACAGGGGATTCATATCGAGCCAACACAGAGCTCTCCCTGGAGCAGGCACAGCGGCTCAGGAACAACCTCATCTAAAGCCGTCCCCACACTCCCAGTTGCTGCCCACACACCAGATACCTCAGCTTACTGGAGCCATGTCCTTCACAGAGCCCCAATTCGGAGGGAAAGGGGCCAGTGCCAACAGGCACCAAGCTGCTGCTCAGGAAGCCTCCTTTGGTAGGCGAAACCATCCAAGCAGGATGTTGCTGGGCCTTTGGCCCATGGCTTCCAGACTTGGCTCCCTGGGCTCCTCTCCCATGAGGAGACAGTGTCCTCGGAGTTCCTGCTTCCGGAGTTCTCAGCTCTTTAGGGATGGACTAACGCTCGGGTCTCCCCTGATCCCATCCCTCCCCCCATGGTGCTTTGTACATGTCCCAGAGGCATGGAAGACAAAGGACCAAAATACACAGGGGATGAAGGTCAGCTCTCTGCCAGGAGCTCAGTGCAACCCAGCTCATGGCAAAGTCATAACGGGCAGAGGCAGTAAAGAGTCCCCCGACTTGATCTGTCCTCACTTAGAACTCCTCCCTCAGACTCAAGAAGTGTGTTTTAGGGGTTTTCTTCTACTCTACCACACATATAGGTGTTTCTAAGATCCCTGGGAGCTAAGGTCCTCAGGCAACTCCTGCTGGGCCTACACCCTCACTCACTGAGTGCTTGAGAAGGGACAAATATCAAGGGCGGAGGGTGGGGGGTGGGGGAGGTGGGAGGGGAGGGAAGCAGGCAGGGAGGGCCTTCCTGCAGAGCAGAAAGAGAAGGCCAAGCTGGACTGCTGGAGTTATCTAGACCCAAGCTCCTGCTAGGCACTCCAGTCTCTCAGGATCATCACACAGCTCAGGACTGGCCTACATTTCAGGTCTCGACCAGGTTTCTGGAGCAAACTTTGCAAGAATTCAATTTTGGTAATGACAAGGTCAGTCGAACAAACCCCTAATCTCTGTAGGAAAAGAAACACAGGTCCTGTCGAATGGAGAAGTCAGACAGGGAACGTTTAACTAAAGACTGAACCTAGGAAAGGCCACCAACCCTGCTTGATGTGGCCAAGATATGCTCTTGCTCAGGTAGTATAAAACCCCCTGGTCTTCTTGGAAATGACTCTTAGATCTTTTCTCCAAGGCACACTAAGAGATGATCCTTGCAGGTCTGATACTCGAATGCCAATAAAGGTTGCTCATCATGGGCTGCTCAAGACCAGCTGTGATTCTGTATGCTTCCTTGAGTACTAACTCTACCCTTTTGCACCCCCACATACAAGCTGCTCATGATGATGGGCGGACACTATCCTACGACCAATGGTCATGCCCAGGCTCAATGCTGACACATGGGCTGGAAAGGATAAGAGATGGAAGGAGGAAGCAAGAAGGTAGAGTCCAAGGATCAGAAACTATGATAACTGAATCTGCAATACCAACATGACTGGTAGCAGATTTAAAACAGTACTAACCCTACTCCCACCACATCTCTTACACACACACACACACACACACACACACACACACACACACACACCCCAGCTCCTACTTTGGGGAGCAAAGGGGGACATGCTCTTGGGCACTGGCTCTGGAGACAAGGATGTGCTTTCTTCTCTCTCCTTCACTCTGTTCGCGCTCAACTCCCTCACCTCCTTCACTAGGCAGAGGGAGCATTCTATTCTGGCACGGCAGTTTAGGTAAACAAGGGAAGGACTGATTTCCTCTTGGATCCAGCAAACATCTCCCAAACAGTAACAACATTATACTCACATATGCAACTAATGGTCTGTGAAAGAATGTGCAGCTGGCGGGGGAGTGGGTGGTGACTGATGACTGGACTCGGGCAGGGAGGTTACCCACTGCTCCTTGCTGGATCCAGTTTCGAAGAGGGCCAGAAAAAGCTGCCCAGGCAGACAACCACTGGCTCTGGTGTCAGTCTTGCTGCCCACATCACACGTTGGATTGGTGCAGCCAGTTCTAATTCTTAGGAGGGGAAACAAACCCCACTCTACAAGGGCTGTGCTGTTACCCTTCTCTGAGCTGGAAAGGGAAGGACACGGGAGGACCGGTGGCTGGCATGGCTCTTAACAAGCTGTGGAATGGTAACAGAATGCCAACCACCAAATTCCAGACAGAACCAACTGTCAGACTCACCTCAGGGAGATGAAGAGCATTGGCCACCTCAGCTTCTTACACAGTATCATTATCTGTAGTTCCCAGAGATGTTCCCTCTGTGAAGAGTCTATCAGAAGTTGTGGGGACATACCTTTCGACTATAAATCTCAAGTGACCCTGGGAATGAGACAGTCTATCAACAGAGAGGAAGCACTAGGCCCCATCAGCTGTCTTCCCAAACATTTAACCAAGGAGCCAGTGCAAGCCAATGGGCACCCTCTAGTTAGCTTGGCTGGTGAAGGCATGGTTTTCATAGGATCATGGATTGGATTCCTCTCTGGACAAGCTCAATATACTCTCTGCTGGGCCTCAGCAGGTTCTCTTCCCTCTCTCACTGATGAGAGGGAAATGGAGGAAAGCCAGTAGATATCAATATGAGCTCCTGGGAAAATAAAACTTAAAAGTACCTTCTCTATTAATGCTATTAATGGAAAAAGACATACATGCTGCTAGCATTACAATGAACATAATCACGACAACTACAAGCACAATGGGAAATAAACATTGGGCTCTGTGTAACAGCAAGTGTCACTGCTCAAGGTCACTCCAGGAGCCATGGTGGTGTAGTGATTAGGTGCTTGGCTGCTAATGGAGATGTCTACAGTTCAACCAGCCACTCTGTGAAAGAAAGAGGAGGCAGCCTGCATCCAGAGAGATTTGCAGTCTTGAAAACCCCTTGGGGCAGAGCTCTATCCTGTCCTATAGGATCAGTAATAGACTTGAGGGCAATGGGCTTGCTTTTTGGTTAAGGTCACCCTTAGCCTTGAAGGATCAAAGTACAGCAAAGGTATCATCTCAGAGGTATACATATTCATATGAACATAGCAGCAATTCTCTACATTTCCTTGCAAATATAGCCATACTATTCAAATAGATCTTCTATCTGTAGCTACAAGCCAGAGGGGAACTGGACTAAATGGCAGTGGGACACAAGGGTTAAGAAAGGGGCTCATTGAATCTCCCCAACTTATAATAGAGGTGCCAAAATATAAACGAGGAACACTGGCAGAACTGACCAAGAATGAGAAAAGCAATGTTGAGGAGCTGCAAGAAATAGCAGCAGGCACAGTAGGGTCAAGACTAAGCTCCACAGCCAGGGTCATCTGAGGAGTGCTTCAACAGAGCCCCACTCTACCATGTTCTAGGCAATGCTAATAATCCATCATTGTCATGGATGCTACATCATACAAAAACAAGGCTGTTGCCCTAGCTGAAAACACAATGAGACGCTACTTCTTGCTACCTCAGCATCTTAACGTCTAGCACGACCATTTCTTCAGTGCAGGGTGGCTTTCTGAAAATACTGAGGCTGCAGATAGCAGACAGACAAGGATAAATTCAAGGCCCTGATTTGCTCATGTCCTTTAGGAAATCTGTCACTTCCCGGGGGTGTTTATTTTACCCGGCATACTCTGCATTGTGATGAATGGTGTGGTGCCACTTGGCACGTGCCTCTGGCACAGGTTGAGAAGATCATACCGAGCACATGCTGCATGCCATGCTCTGCACAGGATGTCTGAGTGGCAGAGATGGGAAAAGTCAAGAGGCTGGGGAGGTGGTACACAAAGGGCAGGCAGGGGAAGGAGCTATTACTGCATATCCACTCATGCCCAACAATCTCAGGAGAGTCAACTTTGTAGCGCACCCTGCGACTGAAGATCAGCTCTTCCTTCAGTGGAGCTCAATGAGAGCCGCAGACTCTTACCCCATCAGTGTTGCGATGATGCTAACAGGCGAGCAGGGCTGCTCTCTCGTTTCATTGTGGAAATGAAAAGCTGACAACAACCAAAGTGACATGTCATAAGACGGGCTTTAATGTCTCCCTCTCACATGATAGTGTGCCTGCTTACACTGGGACTGGCACCTGAAGCTGGCATGCCCCGCGGCTGCTGTGCAGCTGGACCAGCCACAGGCACTCAGCTCAGTACAAACCCTGGAGTCCAAATACTCACATCTGCTGCACTTCACCAGTTTTTGAGTTCTGGAGCTGCCCCACGCATGCCAAGTACATGCGCTGCTGTTCTGCCCTATGTGCTATTCTGCCTTCCTCAACATGACTCCTCTCAGCTTTGTGAGGGTCCAAGGAAAGCCTGACTTTGTAGGGCCTTAGTCTCCTGTTATGGCAGGCTTGAATCCTCTGCTTTGTTTGAAATTTCCTTAAAACATCCTGAAGTAGGGCCTAGCTAACATGACTATCCCTGCCTACGGGACTGTGGGCAGTCACACAGCTCCCTGGTTCCTCCTGGCTGATGGCTCTCTTCTGTGCCCATCACAGTAGGGTGATTTCAAAGCACTACACTGAGGAGTGAAGACAGGCAGAAGCCCATCTTCCTTTACACCCAGTCAGTCATCCTACTCTTGATCTTTCATTAACATGCCTATCTGCATGTATGCAAAGCTCAGGAAAGATCCTCTTATCTGAAGACTACAGAAATGTTTTCTGAATCCATGGAATTTTCCCTTTTGTTGAGTGATGTTCAGACAGCTGACAGGTCTCTGCCTTCCCAGATGTCTTCCCGTTGTTTGGCTTCCAGACGTTTTCTCTCTGTAAATAAAGACCATGTTTAAGTGGTTGTATACTTCATGTAACCAGTGACTTCCCCTTACTCCAAATTACCAAGACAACTTTAGTAGATGAGACAGGTGAGTTTCCTCATCCTGACTCCAAGAGTTAATACTACTAGCCTTCTAAGGGCTTTTTAGGTAGAAACAACATCTCACTAAATCTTACATTTATTCTTATACAGTAGTAAAAGACAGGCTAATAGGAATAAAAAATATGCAGAATAAGTCAGAATCTAACAGGACCCAGATTGTTGGCTTATTGATATATATTCCTTTTAATTCTACTTCTCTACTATGTTTATTCCTTCAATATAAAAACCAAAACCAAACTCTCTGTCACCGAGTCAATACCAATTCATAGTGACCCCACAGGACAAGGCAGAACTACTCCTGTGGGTTTCCAAAACTGTAATTCTTCAGGGGAGTAGAAAGCCTCTTTCTCCCAAGGAGTGACTAGTGAATTAGAACAGCTGATCTTGTAGCTAGCAGCCCTGTTCCAAATACACCATGCCACCAATAATATCCCCTATTCTTAGTTTACTAATCTTTACAAGATACTTCAACAGGGACCAAGAATGTGTTTTAATTTTCTTCTTCTACCTCTAACTCAAATGGAAATGGTGGCCACGGAATCAGTTATATCTCCCTTCTACAAGCCCACAGGAAAGAGATTTCAGAAGCAAACTGAATTTCAGGTACTGAAATCCGGCACTTACAGGAGCCAGATTCTTCTGGAATATACCACCCTAACACAGAAAAATATAGTGGAAAGACAGCAAGAACCATTATTGTTTTAGAACAAATAAACCCAAATTTGGATAATATGAAGCTTGGTTCTTCATTTTAACACTTTCATTGACTCCAAGAAAATAGAGACAATACATGTGGTAAACTGAAGCACTTCATTAGCTGCCACAAATAGCAGTTCTAATTTCACGGCCAGTCATTTATTATGATGCCATAAAATAGACATGATATACCTTTGGACTTCCCCCTAAAGGCTGCTGTTTGAGATTGATAATGTCGCTAATAACCCTAACCACCCTAACCCTAACGCTAACCCTAACAACCCTAACACTAACACTAACCCTAACTGTACCCTAACCCTAACAACAACAACAAAAATAATGTCTACAAAAGATTTTTCCAGCCATAAACCAGAGTGATTACCGAAATCAAGGTGAGTTTGAACCTACACTTGCTATTTTGACATATTGTTCCCAATCAGCAAAATCTCTTTCTTACAAAGTTCATACTATACTGCTGCACTTTAAGGGTAAAGAACCCGATGAGAAAGGTGACTGGCACTTGGGAAATGCAAGAAGAAATTTGCTGCAATTTGGGCACCATCTTGTGGCATTATCTGAATATAACAGCAAAGTTATAAGAAGCAGAGAGAAAACACACACACACACACACACACACACACAGTGGGGGGAGGGAAGGGGTGGCAAATTTCAAAAGGTCGTCCCCACTGGGCAGCCCAAGTTAACTGGTTTGTCTACAGGGCGCCAGGAGGCACTGTGGTTTAGGTTATTACAACAATGGAGAACGGGAAAAGGGCTCTAAAGGCAAAGGCAAACAATCAAAAAGTGGTTCTGCGATCACAATGACCTACCTATAACCACCTCATGGGGATGGACAACAGACAAGGGGGCAAAGGGAGACATCGGACAGTGAAGATGTGAAATAATAATAATTTATAATTATCAAGGATTCATGAGGGAGGGAGGAGGAGGGAAGGGGAAAATGAGAAGCTGATACCCAGGGCTCAAGTAGAAAGAAATCGCTTTGAAAATGATGATGGCAACAAATGTACAAATGTGCTTGACACAATGGATGGATGGATGGATTGTGATAAGAGTTGTATGAGCCCCCAATAAAATGATTTCTTAAAAAAAAGTGGTTCTGGATCCCAAGAAAAATTCAAAATTTCCTATAATCTTAGAAACTAAAATTAGGAAGGTAATATGTGAAGTGGTATAAAAGGTCAAGAAATCCAGCAGTAATAAATATAATGTCTGATTAGCTCACACTCCACAATTCCAAAATCCAAACACTTGAGTTCCTAAAAGAAAGTTGTTGATTTTTCTTTACTTTGGGGGATGAAACACATTTGGTGGTAAATCTGACCTGAAAAGACAAGATTATTTTTAGTCTTCATATATCCTACTCAGTGTGGACAGTCAGACCTTGTATGGCAGGAGTGAGAGTGTCGTGGGGCTGATTTTGAACTCATGGGTGATGGCGAGAAACAGAGAAGATACTGACCACCATACCTTCTTAACATCTGCGAAGTTCAGAAGTCGGAAACATTTTTGTCCCAAATGTCTTTCTTTTAATAAGCGACTGCATATTTGTATCACAAAATGCATGTAGTAAATAAAAGAGAAAACCCTGGTGGTACATGGTATGAGAAAACTAGTAAGAGTCAGATAAAGTGAGAAACAAACAAACAAAATAGTGGAAATGTGAGCATAAAGCTGAAACATCAAACATGGAACAGAGTAGAGAAACGGAGGTTAGGAAGGGGCTTAAAAATAATTTATTCATTTTAAGAGACAAGCGTTGAGAGGTTAAGTGGCTTGAATAAGAAACATCAGGAAGAACCAAAGTTGGAATGCAATGGTGCAATCTAAATCCTCAGTTCTTAAGCTGGCACCACCTGATAATTTAGAATACCATCTGAAAAAACGGGGAAAATGTGAGGGGGAAAAAAGTAATGAAAGATAAACTTGCTGTTTCTAAGAGATGGAAAGTAAGGCTTCTAATAGCTGACAGAGTGCTTGAAAAGATCTTTCATTAACTTCACTTCCAAACATTAAAAAAAGCAAACTAGGTAAACAGAATGTCAAAACAACAGTCATAAGGGCAGGGAATTAAGGGAGAATAGCAATAGTATGAGATAATTAACCTAAAACAATCATGTAAGCTGGCCCTGAAGATTTCATCCTCTGGGATAATAATAAATTGACAGAAACAACTATAATAAATGAGTTGATTGAAATCATGGTGTGGTCAGCAACCACTTTTCACTGAGAAAAAGGAAACCGTTGAAGATTGAAAAGGGGCCAATTTAGTGTCACGTTTTTAAAAAATAATAAAAAGGGATGATCCTGCAAATTAAAGACTTTCAAAAATCACGCTCTATACCTAAGGAAATAATTGAAGAGAAATCAAAAAATCCATTCTGTAACCACCTACAGAGTATAATCAACATGCTTTGTTAAGAACAAGTCTGGTCAAACTAATCTAATTGCTTTCTTTTATGGAGTGACAGACCTGGGAGATCAAGAAGAAATAATAAAAGCAACGTCTTACTTTTAGCAGGGTTTTACATTTTAAATTTACCAAGTTTTTATATAATCATCAATACACTAGAAAAAACAGTCTGAGGTACATAAGTGTTAAGGGGACATTTACCTCCGGAAAGTATCAAACATACTGGAATTAGTATAATGCACTCTATTGGATTTGATACAAAAACTACAATTTATTCAGCAAGAGTTCGTGACTGACTGGCCAGTCAAAATCCTACAGTTGATCCAATACATTTATTAAACAGCAGATGACACCAATAACTGGGTAAATCCTGCTCTTTAGAGAAAAATATCATATTAGAACAGAAAAAAATGTGGCTAGAAATAAAATGTCAAAAACCAGGCAACAAAAAGACAGCAAGGAAAGACCTAGATTATGAGTTGGCAATGCACTGGTGCCCTTTAAGGCAAAATGGTAGAACAGCTACGAAGAATTTCAGAAGGAAGCAGTTATGATTGACTCTGTATGTCACATACAGACAATTTTACTTACAAGTTTTTAGTGGTTTAATTAAAGTAGAAACCAAATTATTGTTTCCTTACTCTGCCTTTCTGGCCTATGACCCCAAAATGGCCCTTCAGAAACAGTCAACTAATTACTTACTCCCAAGATGGAAAGTAAACTTATAAAACTATAGCAAGCTTTGAAAAATGAAAATCTATTAGTTTATTCTACATCTCCAATTTTGGTTGAGAATCAAATGTTTTGAGTAACTGTATTACGGGGAAATTTTACTAGTATTACAGAAATGTATTCTCTCACAGTTAAGAATTAGAGCTAAAATTCTGAGTACTCCCATTTTCAGAAGACTATGGATGACAGTGAAAGCCCAAAATCCATTTTCCATGTCCCCACATAGATTAAGTCTCCACTGAATTCTCTCTGATCATTAACCAAGGATGCAGATAAACTTACCCTCAGGCAGAGTACACTGGAAAGCGGATTACCACCACCCTTCTCTAACCAGACCAAGGAGAGGTCATCTCTCTGAGGGGCTTGCCTATGAGTGTCCTTGATGGAGACTGGCTTCCTAGGGGCAGTACAGGGAGTCATATGGTCATGAGACATGCCCTATCTGTTGTGCCATGATTACCTTGGTTCAAAGGCTCTGGACCAATCCTGTAAACCAGTGGTTCTCAACATGTGGGTAGTGACCCCTTTGGGGGTTGAACAACCCTTTCACAAGGGCCGCCCAACTCATAACAGTAGCAAAATTGCAATTATGAAGTAGCAACAAAAAATAATTTTGTGGTGGTGGTGGTGGTGGTGGGGGTTACCACAACATGAGGAACTGTATTAAAGGGTCGTGGCATTAGGAAGGTTGAGAACCACTGCTGTAAACGCTTTTAACAATAATGTTTGTGTCCCAATCATGATCCTATTCCTGCTTCCGTAGTCCTACCTGTACTGCGATGTACTCATCAGCTAACCAATCATGAATTTATAACTGTTTTTTTGGTCTATGCCATATTTAACTGGCCTCCTGAATGTGAATCCTTGCATGCCTTTATGACCTCATTCTAATGTAAGGTGACCAAGACATCCCGCTTTTGGCGGGACAGTCCCGATTTTCAACAATTTTTCCCGCATCCTGCGGCGTTTTTAAAAAGTCCCAAATTTTGGAAAGAATGCACGACAAGCTAGGGTATACGGTTTTCG